GTATTGAAGGAATGTGTGGCTGCACACATGTTTGTTCATAGGTGTCCTGAAGATTTAAATATGTTAGACTGGAACAGCAAGGGAACAACTTGGGGATGGGCAGCAGGAGAGGCAGGACAGGAAGATTAGAGGAGAAATGACCAGAGTGCCAGGAGTTGTGTGTGTAAATGCCACACACTAGCTGAGCATAGAGGTGTGCTACTGATCCCAGAACTCCATAGGGGGATCCAGAAGGTTAGGGGTTCAAACACAGCTTCCGCTATATAGTGAGTCTGAAGGCTGCCTGAGATCATGAACCCCCCATCCCAATCAAAGAGACTACAGAGGATGCCTGAACCTGGAGTTGGGGGAGCTGGTGTCCTTTGTCATGCTCCCTGTGTGGTTGGAAAAATACTCTAGCACATGAAGACAGTTTGGGCAGAGGATGAGCAGTTTGCTACCAATGCACAGATCACTGTCATGGCCTTAAGGTGCCAACATTTGCTTGTGTTCATGGTGTTGATGCTGATCTCTCTACTGCTGCTAATATGTGCTAGGAAATTTTTGTAACTTTAATTATAATCTACATTCATCTTGCCATAGGAACTGTTAGGAGACACAGCATCCCAGGAAGGAGATTGTAAGCATTTGGGGGTCTCAAATTGGAGAGCATCCTGCAGTCTCCACACAGGATAGGGTCCCATCAGCAGGCAATGAGGAATCACTGAGGCCAGACAGAGCATCCTATCAGGAAACACGATTAGGCCATTAAGAGCCTGTCTTTAATGACTTGGCTGAGAAACATCCGAAGGCCCTGATGAATATTTATAAGTAGATTTAGAATTCCCTTAAAAATATTCACACCTCATGTGTCATATCTTATTTCTTTCCTTTGCCCTCATCATTATGGGCTCCCTCTCCTCCACCATCAAGGAGCCCCAGAATAGGGCACTGAAAACCTTTCTTGTGACCTGCAGTCTCAAGGTTAAAACTCATGACTTAGATCAATTTTAGGACAATGCTGTCATGTTGTTCCCCTGGATAACTCTGGAGAACATGTGGGACCCTGACCTCTGGATGTGCATTCTCTGTAAGTGTGAAATACGGTCTGGGACTGCCCCTCCCTGGTTCTTTGTCCCCATCCTCCTTATGGTCATGGCAAGTCTAAAGAATTCTTCCTAAAAAAAAGTGGAGGTCGCCCATTACAAGCACTGCCAGGATTAGGCTAATGTACACCTTTCCATTATAGACCCTGTCCCACTTTCTCCAGCAAATGAGATGATCTCAGTGTTGAGGATGAGGACATGTCAGCTTTCATCCTTGCCCCCCCATCCATCATGCTTCAAGCCATCATCCAGCCCTGCTGTCCCAGGTCCCTTGCTGATGAGCCCCTCTGCCCCTGCACCGTGGGAGGGACCCCTGGCTCACCCGTGGTGTGGTCTTGGGGGACTTTGCCCTCACTTCTGTGTTGTCTGTTCCTCCTGCTGGACTGCCTCTCCCCAGGGCATCATCCCTCCTCAGGTATATCATGAGATTTCCCTGTCAATATTGGCCCTGATTCTGAGAACAGGCCCTGGATTCCCAGTCCTCTGGCAGACTTGACACCAATCAGAAAAGCTGCCAACAATTCAGGTCCAGATTCCCCTTATTATGAACAAGTATTGAATCAATGGGCCGTGCACCTCCAGACCGATTACAACTGGTATAATCTCCTTAAGGTGTTGTTCAACCCTGCCATGTTTCTAAATTTGAAGTCTGCATATCATGACTTAGCTGACAATCAGGCTATGGTTAGCCTGGAATACAATTTTAACATTACTCTTGACATGCTCACTGGCCACAGGGAGTATATTAACCCTGTCACTCAGGCTACCATTGGACTGTATGCTTACGTTAACCAAGTGGCTGATCTTGCCTTTAAGGCCATGAAGGTCTGCTCCCCTGGAGTCCCCTCTGCTTACTTTCACAACCTTGTCCAGCAGTCATAGAAGTCCTTCAGGGACCTCCTGTCCCATGTGACTGAGGCAGTGGAAAGGCAGGTCAATGCTGATGCAACTAGAAACATGCTCATCAAGTATCTAGCATGGGAGAGCCTTAATGCCTCCCCTGCCCTGTCACAACGCTGTCATGTGATGTGTAAGGAATGGTGATATCCTTTAATGGGTTGTTGACACTCATGATTTGGACCTTGGGGTGGGCCCCATCACCATTCCAACTGCCTCCATTGATATCCTTGTTACAGAGCTTGTGAAGGGAATCCCTACACACACTTGAAAGGACCCCTGATCATACCTCCTTGGACTGTAGCAAGCCTGGCCATCTCAGACAGAACTGTCCCATGAGGTGTCAGTCCTCATTGTAACAAGATATTCCACTGGGCTATGGTTTGCCATTTACAAAGGCAGGAGGAAAATTTACATTCCAAAGGGGGAACCTGTCAGTCCTGCCCCAAAGAAAGAGTCCTGCTCACCCAGGAGACTTCCAGATCTTTTCTGTGTTTCCTCACTCCCTAATGATGACTGTGCATTTAGATGGTATACTCCTTAACGGGTTTGTTGACACAGGGGCAGATGTCACTATAATAGCATAAAATGAATCATTGAGGTTCCTCCATTGGAGATTTTGGCCTGGTCCCACCACTATGGGAGTTGGAGGCCAACAGGCAAAAAAATGACTACCCAACATTTTGATTGGCAGGACTTGGACAGCAATCGGGATCTTTTATACCTTTTGTGGCTGATGGTCCCGACAACCTCTGGGGAAGAACTAGTCAAGAAGACATGGGCAATCACAATCACTACAGACAATGTGACTTTTCTGATGATGTTATGCAACATGATGCTGATGTTATGCTGGACAGGTCACAAAGTCGGGGATCACCCCCAATTCTAACGGTCACTGCCCTCCCAGTGCTACTTGGCAGCAAGATTCCTGACCCTATACCACAGGGCTGGTTGTCTGATGTCAGTATCTGGGTGGACCAGTGGCCAATTTTGAAACCTAAGCTTTCTGCTCTCAAGGAACTGGACTTGGAACAATCAGCTTTGGGTCATGTGGAACCCTAGACCAGCAGACATAATACTCCCATTTTTGTCAATAAAAGAAGTCAGGGAAACATAGTCTTCTACAGGATCTGAGAGCCATTAATGAACATATAGGAAAAATGGGGACCACTCACACAGGACTGCCCCATCCAAGTGCTAACCCACGCAGGTACAATGTGGTGATCCTAGTTTCTAAGGACTGCCTTTTCCAGATCCCTCTGGATCCAGGATAGATGCTGATTTGCCTTCACAGTATGGAAGCCTAATATGAATAAACCAGGCAAAACATTTCAGTGGATAGACCTGCCTCAGGGCATGAGCACAAAGAGTGAAACTAGATGGAGAGGAAGAGACAGGGTCGATGCAGTGCTCAGGAGGGAGGGGTGCTGGGCACTGATGGGGTGAAGCCTGAGGGACAGAGACAGAGAGGGGTGGAGCAGGAGGAGACAGAGGCAAAAGAGGAGATGCTAACTCAGCAGAGTCCCCTGTTTGAGGGTATTTCTGTCAGATTGCACTGGACTCATCTCCAGAACCCTGCTGGCATCTTACATTTCACAGTGAATGCTGTGCTGGTTTGAATGAGAACAGCCACACAGGCTCACAGGAATGAATACTTCAAATCCAGCTGATGGAACTCTTGGGAAAGGATTGGGAAGTGTGGCCTTATTGGAGGATGTATGCCACTGGATTGGCACTGAGGTTTTAACAGACTTTCACTATTCCCAGTGTCTCAGCCTGTTGTTTGCAAATCAAGTCTTGAGCTCTCAGCTGTTCCCCCACCACACCTCTCCTCTGCCATCTTGGACTCAAACTCTCTGAAGCTAGAGAACAGGTTAAACACATGCTTTTATAGATTGCCTTGGTCACAGTGTCTCATCACAGCAATAGAAAACTAACTAAAGCTAGTGTGGTGACACCTGCCTTCAATCCCAGTGTGGTGGATTGAACAGGTGGTCCCCATAGACTCATGTGCTTGAAAAGTTGGCCTACAAGAAGTGGCACTATTAGGAGGTGTGGCCTTGTTGGAGGAACTGTGTCACTGTGGGGGGTGGGCTTTGAGGTCTCTATGCTCATGCTTTGCCCAGTGTGGAATGAGAGCCTCTTCCTGGCTGCCTTTGGATCAAGATGTAGAAGTCTCTGTTCCTCCAGCACCATGTCTACCTGCACACTGGCATGCTTCCTGACTAAATCCCTGAAACTGTAAGCCAGCCCTTATTAAATGTTTCTCTTCAGAAGGGCTACTAAATCAACTGTACCATGCAAGTGGGAACACAAAAAAGTGCCGCATAGACAGGGATCACTGCCCTGCTGTCTGTGGTCTCCAAAGGAGTCTCTCTTCAGTGGACAAGGGGGTCTATTGTGTTGAGATGATGACCCAGGTCCACATGAACAGACTCAGGACTTCTTCTTTACAGATGAGAGTCCTGCACTCAAACTTTAGAGTGTGAGCCACCCATTGCAGGTGAAAACAGAGCCTGGTCTCTGTGGGGTCTATGTGGGGCTTGCAGGCCAGCGACTCTGCTTTAAGGAGAAGCATCTCTCCACTGAATCCCCAATCTCCTGTGTTGTCATTGTATTCCCTGAAGCGGCTTTTCTTTGAGAAGATTACAAGATCTGATTTCTGAAGAGAAGAAGGAAGAGGAAAGGTGGAGGAGAGGACACAGAGTCTGGCCTGTGGGTCTCTCCTGGTGTCCAGACAGCTAATGGGATAGAACTAAGAGACACCATGACAAACAGCGTTTTGTCCGCAGCTCAGGGTTCAGGCAAAGTCTTCATTACCAGGCAATGAGGTCTGGAGTGGGGAAGCCAAGAGCTAGGGATTCCCCATCTCCCCAGTTTCACTTCTGTTCCTGTTTTAGGTCCTTCTGCCTGGACACTGATGACTCAGTGACAGTTCTCACCCCCATTGGGTGACGCGATCCCGGGTAACCAATCAGCGTCGCAGTGGGCACTAGTTATAAAGTCCTCACAGTTTGCAGGACTCAGAAGTCCCAGAACCCAGATGGGGGCATGGTGCGAGCACACGCTGCTCCTACTGCTGGCAGTTGCCCTGGCCCCGACCCAGACCCAGACCCGCGCGGGTGAGTTCGGGGTCTGGAGGGAAACTGCCTCTGCGGGGAGGGGCGGGGGCGGCACCAGGGAAGCTGCGTTCCCTAGTTGCCCACCGGTCCCTTCGCCCCTTCTCCACCCCATCCTGCCCTGCGTGTGCCCTCCACCCACACGCCCTGCGTGTGCCCTCCACCCACACGCCCTGCTCCACTCAAAGCCCCGCGCACCCGCCAGGAGTCCCGGGAGGAGGTCAGGGTCTCACGTCTCACTGCCCGCAGGCTCACACTCGATGCGGTGTTTCCTCACCACCACGTCCCGGCCCAGCCTCGAGGAGCCCTGGTTCATTATGGTTGGCTACGTGGACGACACACAGTTCGGGTGCTTTGACAGCGATGCGGAGAATCCGAGATATGAACCTCGCGCACCATGGGTGGAGCAGGAGGGGCCTGAGTATTGGGAGCGGAAGACGCAGATCGCCAAAAACTCGGAACAGATTTTCCGAGTGAGACTGAGGACCCTGCTCGGCTACTACAACCAGAGCGAGGGGGGTGAGTAATACAGGTTCAGAGGTCACCTCCCCTCCAAGTCCCGACACAGGGGCCCAACACTTCCCAGGACCCAACTCCCAGATACAGAACAGTTTCCCATTCAGTTTGGAGGAGTCCGGGAAGGGGGGGCAGGTGGGCGGGGCTGACCTCGGAGTCCCGCAGGCTCTCACACCTACCAGGGGATGTTTGGATGTGACGTGGGGTCCGACGGGAGCCTCCTCCGCGGGTACACGCAATATGCCTACGATGGCCATGATTACATCGCCCTGAACGAAGACCTGAAAACGTGGACAGTGACAGACATGGCGGCGCAGATTACCCGGCGCAAGTGGGAGCAGAGTGGTGAAGCAGAGAAACAAAGGGCCTATGTGGAGGGCGAGTGCGTGGAGTGGCTCCGCAGACTCCTGGAGCTCGGGAAGGAGACGCTGCTACGCACAGGTGCAGGGGCCTCGGGCAGCTCCCCCCACCCCCCGCCCTCGGGCTGGAGTTCAGTCCTGGGGAAGAAGAAACCCTCAGCTGGGGTGATGCCCCTGTCTCAGAGGGGAGAGAGTGTCCCTGGGTCTCCTGATCCTCATCACAATGACTGCACTGACTCTCCCTGGATCAGACTTCTCCCTGGACAGTTCCCAGTCTGTCTCAGGAGGGAAGGAGAGAATTTCTTGACCTAACAACAGGGGCTCCCTCAATCAGCCATGGCTTCTCCCAGGCTGGGTTCTCTGCCCACATCTACTGTTGTACACACTGACTCCTCTCTTGCTGAGTGTGTCAGCCCTTACACCTCAGGACCAGAAGTGTCCTTTACCTGATGGGTGACATGGACTCCTCTACAGAAGACTGGTTCACAGGTTTCTAGAATTTTCCAAAGAATGCATTCTCAAAGATCCTCCCGGCCCCCTTGTCTCTGGGGTTTGCATCCCTTCAACAACCCAATTCTACCTAATCCTACAGTGGTGAATGGTCACATGAGCCCTTATAGGATACCCTGGAGGAATATAAACTGTGGAATTTCTTTTTCTTTTTTTTCTATCGTTTTTAAATTTTATTTCTTAACTTTCTTTTTCTTTACATTTTTCTTGAACTCATTATTTTGCTCCTAGTCAGTTTTTCTCTGCACTGGAGTGATACTGTTTCTCCAGGCCATTGTATTATCATTTGTATCCGTCTCCACAGACTGGATGATTAGACAAGTTAATTGAGGGTTCCTGCTAAAGGTAAGATTCTTGTGAACTTAGACTGTTTCTTATCAGAACTAAACATTCAGAATTCTCCTGCTCTTCCTCTGCCCCACAAGTTACAGTGCTCCCCTAGTGAATCAGGAATTGGACTTTCTGAGAGACAGGATCTTCTGCAATCCAGGGCTGGAGTGAGAGGGAAGATCCACACACCCTGTAAGCCTGCTGTGTTCCAGTGAGTGCTGCACTGGGGTCCACAGCACAATCCAGGGATCCTGTGTAACTTACCTGTACTTTGTTGCCTCAGAGGCAGGGGCTGGGAGTCACTTTTTCTGCCTGAGTGTCAGACGTTCACCACATTTCTGCTACACACTTTGTGATGGATGTTCACTTGGACTGACAGTTATGCTAGTCAGCAAGATGACTACAGTGGTTGACTCTCAGTGGTGGCCCCCTTCCAGTAGAAAATGACTCTAATTTCTGATTTAGATATAAACTCAAACACATATTAAAATGCTTATTTTTCATTCTATCTTCCATTCTTTGACTACCTGTCTTATGCTATAAAACATTACATAAGGAAGACCATGTTGACCCACTAGCTCATGTGGATTCCCTCTTAGCTTCTGAGTCTCCCAGGAACATGTGCTGTTCTGTACTCAGGGGACCAGCTCTACCTACTGGTCACTACTGTGATGAAAATTGAAGTGTTCAAATGGACACATATTTCAGTGTCATCATTGATTTAACTGTTCCTAGTGTATATTTCAATTTGCTTTGTTAATTTTGAAATTTCTTAAATCTTCCAAACAGAACCACCAAAAGCACATGTAGCCCATCACCCCATATCAGAAGGTGATGTCACCCTGAGGTGCTGGGCCCTGGGCTTCTACCCTGCTGACATCACCCTGACCTGGCAGCTGAATGGGGAGGACCTGACTCAGGACATGGAGCTTGTGGAGACAAGGCCTATAGGGGATGGAAACTTCCAGAAATGGGCATCTGTGGTGGTGCCTCTTGGGAAGGAGCAGAATTACACATGCCATGTGCAACATGAGGGGCTGTCTCAGCCCCTCACCCTGAGATGGGGTAAGGAGGGTGTTGGTGCAGAGAAATGGGTCAGGGAAAGCTGGAATTTTCTGGAGACCCTGAGCTGGACAGGGCTGAGAGCTGGGGTCATGACCCTCACCTTCATTTCCTGTACCTGTCCTTCCCAGAGCCTCCTCCATCCACTGACTCTAACATGGCAATCATTGCTGTTCTGGTTGTCCTTGGAGCTGTGGCCATCATTGGAGCTATGGTGGCTTTTGTGATGAAGAGGAGGAGAAACACAGGTAGGAAAGGGCAGGGTCTGAGTTTTCTCTCAGCTTCCTTTAGAAGTGTGCTCTGCTCATTTGTGGGAAACACATCCACATTCTGCATTGCTACTGTCTCCAACTGGGTCTGCAGTCAGTTCTGGGAACTTCTAGTGTCAAGATCTTCCTTGAACTCTCACAGTTTTCTTCTCTCAGGTGGAAAAGGAGGGAACTATGCTCCAGCTCCACGTTAGTGTAGGGAGCAGCATTATCGCAGGGTCATTGCAGTGAAGCTAGGGATGTTGGGAGCTCTGGGAATCCATAATAGTTCCTCTAGAGAGATCCTCTGGGGTCTTCAGTTGTACCATGATATGAATACATGTACATATTCATATACATAACCATATACATTTGTTATGTTTTACTCTAGGCAGTGACAGCTCCCAGAGCTCTGATATGTTTCTCCCAGATTTTAAAGGTGACACTCAGGGTCCTGACTGGCGAGGGGCAATATAGACATGATTGGGTTTCACAGACTTCCAGATTCCTCTGTAAGTGGTGGGTTGTTGGAATGTTGACTTCACAGTGATGGTTCATGACTCTTGTTCTCTAGCATGAAGACAGCAGCCTGGAGTGGACTGAGTAACAGAAGATGTGTTCAGTTTCTCCTGTGATGTCCAGAGCTCTCAGATTTATTAAGACAACAGTGTCTGATGTTCTTTGTCAGCCTGTGGACTCAATGTGAAGAACCATGAGGCCCAGTCTGCCCTTGCACACCAGAGCCCTGTCGCTGTACTGCTTGTGTTCCCTTCCACAGCCAGTCTTCCTGGTCTAGGGGGCATCTGCATCCTGTCAGCTCCATGCTGCCCTGAGCTGCAGCAACTCACTTCCACTTTGAGAATAAGCATCTGAATGTGAACTTGATGGTTAACATCCTTGACTTGAGGGTTGATTGCAGGTAAATAAGGGATTTAGAATACTTAGAATTTGTGGACGAATTAAATGGCAGATGGAGAACCTTCCAGAATCTCTGTCAATCTGTGCTGTGTGTATCTGGTGAGACTGGATAAGGCTGTGGGAACTGAGTGTAAATGAGGATGTGCCCAGATGAGATCCTTGTTATCTAAGACAAGGTCACACTCAGCTCTGTCTCCTCCGGGCTCTGTTCTCTTCATCACTGTGAAGCACATGCTGAGAGTCTGTGATCACAGGGACACTGCATGGCCAGAGCCTTGTCCTGTCCACAAGATTATGAGCAGCCCAGGCTGCTGTCTTGATTGTAGCTCTTTACTTTGTCTTCTGTGTTTATTTATTGTGTTTTTAGTTTGTGTAGAGGAGTGGGCCTATTCTTGTTCACGAAATTGCTTCCTGTCTGGTTACCCTCAGAGATGTCCAAGTGTGACAGCGGTAGGAGGTGTTTTTCCCATTCTTGTACCCACCAGACACAACAAGGGGGGTTCTGGTCTCAGGACACTGTGCCTTCACCAATGAAGTAAACTCTTCTGAGCTCCTGCCTCCTTCCATGTGTCTCCGTGGAGTTCTCCCCGTCTTTCCCATCTTTCCCCAGCTAACCCTGGATTCCATGATTCACACAGAGAAGGGATCCACAGGCTCTCATCAAAGATCTGGTCCTCTTGGACCTGTGCTGTGCCCATGGCCCCTCTCCTTCCCTGGCTCTGAGGATCCTGATGCTGACTTTAGAGAAGATTCCAGGGTTGATAGAATGAGTCTACTTTAGATTTATTTTTATTTTAAAAGCTGGTCCATGACTAGATAGATGGCCCAGAGCAAAGAAAAACTGTGCTGCCCTGTGTCTCTTATCACAGGGTTTTGCCTTCCATAGTTTTACTGACTTAGGTTAACTATGATCTGATTATAACAAGGCAAACGTGGTAAAAATATGCAACACATTTGTTTTTGCATGTTTTATCTTTCCTTCCATGGGATGAAGACTCTGTTACACCTAGTATGAGATCTTTTCCTCCTCTGTCCAGTGTCCACAAGGTTCACAATGCACAGGGCTGATGTGCTCAGGGGCAGACTCGAGTGTCGCATGCACAGATTCACTGTCCTAATGCCTCAGTCTCTCACTCCCTCAGCTCAGCTCACCTGTCATCTCCCATCAACACACGTGTGAGCACAGGGCAGTGGTGTTGGGGAGGAACTAAATCATGTCTATTACATTACCCTGTTCTCAGCATTCTGCATGCAACTGTTATTCATCTCTTACTGCAGTTGATGTAGCAACCTTTCCATAGGACTTTGTACACACTAACTCACAGAGTGCAGACAGGGTTTACTGCTGTGCAGGGTTCAGACACAGGCTCAGACTAGGAATCTTTTTCCCAGCAGAGAAGGTGACAACTGTATTTAAGGAGTGTGTGGTGGCTGCACACATGTTTGTTCATAGGTGCTCTCAAGATTCAAATATGTTAAGCTGGAAGAGCAAGAAGGATGACACTGCCCACCAAGGGCAGATTGACCTGGATTGTGTTAACACTAACTACTGGGATAAACTGCCCCATTTCTCTTCTGCCAGGTCCTGTGAAAACAGTGGACACCTTTGGGTTGACTGCTATGTTCTACATAGACAGGACTGCTGCTAAAGGGACAAACACGACCCAACAGTCAGTTCCAGAATACAAACTGCTCAGGATATTCAAATTCTTGAGTTAATATGAAACTGACATGAACATTGTATAGAACTCTGAACTCAAAAATACTGAATCCTAAGACTGCCAAATACAACCAAGCTCGACTTTAGGAAAGCTTGGCAGAAGTGGCTTCATTATTGAAAAGAGTTTTACTGTGTTACACTTAAAATCTTTATTTTTTATACAGACAAAAAGAGGGATATAGGAATAATAGGAAACACGGGTAAATTATTCAATCTGATCTCATCTACAGCTTTAAAGAGTGATACAAAATTATTGTATATGTTTACAAAAGCATATTACTTAGTAGAGATCTTTGTATATTGATACAGATTAACATTATATTTGTTTACATTGTGATATATCTTTGTATATTGATACGAAATTAAGGTTATATTTGCTGACATGGGTATAGGTGTTTGCATAGTGACAGAAAATTAAGGATACAGTTGGTTACATTAGTATAAATCCTTGTATATTGGTACAAAATTGATGTTTATTTGGTTACATTTGTATAGATCTTTGGATATTGATTCAAATAAAGGTTACAGTTGGTTACATTGGTATAGATCCTTGTATATTGATACAAAAGTAAGGTTATATTTTGGTTACAACATACCAAGTATCAACTCCGTGGTATTGAGATACCTATGTACTTCTTAAAACTGCAATGGGAAGTACTAGTCCTTTTGAAAGTTCCTATTACAAACTGTTTAAGAAATTTTTTTTAAATGCAAGTTAATAGTAAGTTAATCAAACTTTGGTTTGTTTTGGTTTTGTTGGGTACCAATCTTCAAATCCTCCAAGATCTACAGAATGAGTCATTTAAAGGTGTTTTATTAATTTAAGACTTTTTTTTACAATGAGATGTGTCAGCCCTGCAGTAACCCCAGACTACTTCAAGGAAGATGATGAGCATTGAAGAATTTCCTTGTGGAGTTTGCTTCAAATGTGGGAAGTTGCCACTGGGCAAGAAACTACCCTTGCTTCAACTGCTGACAGAATACTGTCCAAACTGGACAAAGAAAGCACAGGAAGTCAAATGCTGAACTCTACCAGGACTAGGTAGAGAAGAAGTCCTTCATGATTCCTGCTTCACAAAACAATCTTTCACATGTTCTGGGCCAGTAGACTGAAGACATGGATGCCCCAACCTTCCAGAGGAACCCTGGGTGACTGTCCAGGCAGCCTGCAGTCTCTGTCTTTTCTATAGTATTGAAAGCTGCTTGTTCTGCACATTCCTGTCTATGTTGACAACATTCATTCCTCTGAGGTCTCTGATGGGGTTAAAGACTAGATTTGTGTACTCTCACAGTTAAGACTAAGTTGTTTAGGATTTAAGAAAATGTTTTAAGATTTAAAAAGAGATTTTTAGGTTTAAAAGTATAAGTTATGATAGAAAGTGATTTGAGTACAGACTGTTGGACTCACCAACATTAGATAGATAGTGGAATACTTTCTCCAAGGTTGCCAAATACAAATGGACTGGTTGAACCTGGGTCCTCTGAAAGAGCAACAAGTGCTCTTAACCACTGAGCCATCTCTCCAGCCAGTTATATTTGATAAATAAGGTATACTGATTAATAAGTTCTATATTTGTAAAGCCTATTCAGCTTCACATTGATATTTGTCTAGCTTTTTGTTCTTGTTCACCTTGTTAACCTTTAACCATTTGGAGAAACTGAGTCATACAAATCTGTGCTATTCTATAATGGTAAACTAAAAAAAGAAAGATATTAGGCTAATGTAGACTAATGTCTACTGCATTTATGATTTATTTAGATGATAAAGGATCTTCACTTCAAATACTAAGGCTAAAACTTAACAGAAATAAAGTTACAAAATTTTAATCTTATGAAAGTTACTTACTGTAAACTGTTCAAGACAATTAACAGATGCAAGTTAAGAACAGGAACAAGGTTTATTTAGCCTCCTGTATATGTTTCCAAAGTTAAGCCTAAAACAAGTTACTAGAAACAAGGAAAGTTTGTTTGGTATAGATATCCTTATTAGCTAACAGTCCTCAAAACTTTTCAGAGATCTGCTGAATATGGCATTTCAAATGTTTAATGGACAAAGCTTACTATGAGAGACAGAGACCCCCAGCTACCAGAAGTGACCCCCAGGTCTTCACAGCAGCTGAATGGGTAGAGAATAACTCCACCTTGAGCTTGCTTTAAATGTGACAAAAACCAACCACTGGGTGAAAATCTGCCCTTCATCTGTTTGTCACCAGGACCCTGTCCAAACTGTGGAGTAGGACACTGGGGAGTTGCTTTCCTTGCTTAGCTTAGGCAAGGTAGGCTGATCCCCAGGGTCCTCCTCCACTGGACAGTCTTTGGACCTTCTGGACCAGGCAGGGAAGACTGATGCTGCCCTGTGTCCTCTCTCCCCAATGAAATCATGACTACAACAGTGGAACCTTCAGTGATTGTCTAGGTAATGAATAAGTCTGTCATTTTTAGTAGATTTGGAAACTGCTTGGTCTGTACATCCTGCTTACTCACGTGAAATTGATCCTTTGCAGATCTCTGATGGTGTTAACTAGGGAGAGCTTTGTGAGTTTAACAGCAAGCAACAACACAGGCTTCAGGTGTTGCTCAGTTTTCTTCATGTGTGAAAATCAGGAGGCACTTTCCTAGAGTTGCTACTAGGTCTAGATACTGATCACATTGTTACCAGATTCTAAGAACAGATAAAGTCCCACAACAGATTTCAATGTAACTTTTTACTATTCCTTTATCTAAAGGAAGTTGTTTTACCAGGACTGCTCACAGTTACCAAACACCGGTGTCTTGTGGTGAATAATTGGAGGGGAAAAAACCGTAACATTTATGTAAGTTCTAAGGATATATAAGTTTAAGTAAGTTGCAAAAATATTAAAAACTTGCTTTGAGATCTGTGAATGTGACTTATAAAGGTCTTTAAAAAGTGGTTTAACTGCAATTATAAAGGTCTAAGGAGTTGTTTTAAGGAGTTAACTGCAATTCATAGAGGTATAAGAAGGTTATTTAAGGTGTATGTAAAAATGAAGAATGTTTCAGATTTCTTCCCTCTGTATGCTATTCTTATATTAACATCTAAAAAGTTTAGAGTTTTAACACTAGTCAATGAAGTTCTGATGAATTATTTATCTAACTATGACAAGCAGTGATTGTTATTATAGTGACAAGCTCAAGATTATGAATTTCCTATGGTTGTCTTCTAAGTATAGACTTAAAAGTGCTTCTCATTGAGCAAGAAACTCCTGTCCAAGCTTAATACACCCAGAGTTCTCGATTAAGGAAAGTTTATTCGCACTTTTACCTCCAAATCATTTCAGGGTCCCAAGCTTTTACTAAGACTCAAAGGCAGGAGTCTGCTGCCTTTTCTACAGTGTGAAGTTCAGCTTACACAGTGGTATGTTTACATGTCTAAAATTTATCTCATTTTGTAACTTAAACAATTCTTTTAAGCTTCAAAGAATCTACTTGAATCCACCTCTCACGGGTCAAATGGACTCCAGATAAGTACTGTCAATCAACGGCCTGTTTCATCTCCTGCCTATTCAGCTTTTTCCTAAGGGTGGGGTCTCCTCCTCCTTTCTGTGGTCTTGGGATGGCCCACCTCCAACTAATGGGCCTAAAGTTCAAATGTTCATCTTGGCGGGGGGGGGGGGGGAATTTCTTCTCACCTCTTTAACTTTACCTTCTGTTCCGAGTGTGTGTGTGTGTTTGCACGCGCACGTGTGTGTTTGTGTTTCAGTAAAATGCTAGCTCCAGGTGTTTCCTCAAACTGTGCATGCCAGACAGCTTCAAAGCATGTTCCCCATAATGGTTCAATTAAAGATGCATCTGCATACCCCAGCAGCAGACAGTCCTGCAGAGCCTGGACAATGAAGGAACAGCTTGATTTTCTTGAACCTACCCAGAATCCCAGCTTTCTTGGGTCCCCAAAGATGTTGCCACACCCCCAAACAACAGGGAGCAGTGTAAAGAGCATGTTGACCCCATTTCTACCTTGTCAGTCACCCCTTATCACAGCAATAGAATCCCTCACTAAAACAGAGGTGCACAAGGACCTTCTTACTCTGCTCCCTGCACACACCACCCTCTCCTGCAGCTCAACTCCAGTCCCTCCCTTGCCCTGGAGCAGCTCCCACAAGGCTACTAACACCCACCTGTACAGCTCCTAGGGATCTGATGCCCTCTCTGACCTCCTAAGAGAGCGGTCACCACCTAGCAGGTCTCACATACATATTGGGTGACAGGATCCCTGGGAACCAACCAGCGTCGTCAGGGAGCACTGGCTATAAAACCCATGTAGCTCCCAGGACTCAGACGCCCCTGATCCCAGATGGGGGGCAATGGCGCCGCCCACGCTGCTCCTGCTGCTGGCGGCCGCCCTGGCCCCGAACCAGATCCGCACGGGTGAGTGCGGGGTCGGGAGGGAAACGGACTCTGCGGGGAGGGGCGGGTGCGGCACTGGAGAAGCCGCGTCCCCGCATCGCCCACTGGACCCTCCGCCCCTTCTCCACCCGCGTCCTGAGCCCCGCACCCTGCTCCCCTCCCGGCCCGCACACCCGCCCGGGGTCCCGGGAGGAGGTCGGGGTCTCACAGCGCGCCGCCCCCAGGCTCACACTCAATGCCGTGTTTCCACACCGCGATGTCCTGGCCCGGCCTCGGGGATCCCGGGTGTATAGTAGTCGACTACATGAAAATCTGCTACATGGGCGACTAGGACGTGGAGACTCTGAGATATGAGCTGTGCGCATGGTGGATGGAAATGGTGGGCAGGGATTGTTGAGAGATTGATACGCAAAGAGAGTCAAGGACAGCCAGGGAACCTTCGGGCTCTGCCTGGCCACTACATACATAGTCAAGAGGGTAAGTTTCCGCGGGTCAGAAACCAAGTCTCCAAGGCTTCTTAGGTTCTGCAGAAACCCAAACCATGACCAGTCTCCCATTTATTTTAAAGGAGGACATGGATGGGTGGGGCCAGAGACTGAGGCTGACCTTCCAGGACCTGGCCAGGCTCTCACATCATCTACCTGAAGTCTGGCTGTGACATTGGGTCAGACACTGGTCTCCTCTACAGGTATGAGCTGTTCCACTATGGCTGTCACGATTACATCGTCCTGAGCAAAGATCTGAAAACATGGACAGCGATGGACACAGAGGCATAGGTCATCCAGAGAAAGCTGGTGCCGGCTGGTGAGGCAGAGATACAGACCTACCTGGAGAGCCAATGCATGGACACTTGGTGCATGGGAAGGAGGAACTGCAGCTCACAGGTCTGAGGAGCCAGGGAACTCCTCACTCGGTTCTTAGGCTGGGGCTCAGTCCCAAGTAAAAAGAAACTCCTCAGTCCCTGAATGTGAACAGGGCCTGTTCAGCTGGGGCTCAGTTGGTTGTGGGCTTTTCTGTGAAGGACTAGACCTGTTCTTTTTCAGATAATGCTAGTATACTTCTTCTCTGGGGTCAGAACTTCAAGAAATCTTGCAGAGGTCTCCATAGCTCCACCTCTGTGAGGCTGGTGAAGTGACCTAAGTAGGCCACATTAACAGAGACCTAGAGGGG